CCTGCTTCGGCCTCACGGGCATCCACAGCGGCTCGGACGCGACGTCGCTCATCGGGTCGTCGGGCCGCGTCGCGCGGCACCCGGAGAGCGGCGAGCTCGGCGTCGTCTGCTCCTTCGACAAGCGCTACATCACGCTGGCGCCCGTCGCGGGCCTCGTGGGCCTCGGCTTCGAGCTCGAGGACCCGGACGGGCTCCTCGGGTCGAGCGGCGCGCCGGGCTTCACCGTCGCGCTCCTCGAGCGCGACCACCCGGGCCTCGAGATGGGCCCGCGCCACTGCCCGCTCAACGCGGCCTTCATGAACGGCACGGTCAAGGGCGAGGACGTCTGGGTGCCCATGGACGCCGTGCTCGGCGGCCAGGAGCGCTGCGGCTTCGGGTGGCACATGTTCGTCGAGTGCCTCGCGGAGGGCCGCGGCGTGTCGCTGCCCGCGATGGCCGTCGCGCTGGGCAAGGGCGTGGGCCCCATCGTCGGCGCCTACAGCCGCGCGCGGAAGCAGTTCAAGGTGCCCATCGCCGACTTCGGGGGCGTGCAGGAGGCGTGCGCGCTCGTCGCGTCCGACGGCTACATCTCGCTCGCGTCGACCCGCGCGGAACTCGACCGCTGGTTTGGGACGTCTCGACCAAACTTTGAAATTCTCTAGCTCGGTCAATTCGAAGTCGATTCGGCGGATTTTTGGACGGATCGATCGCTCTCGGCGAGCTCTCGAAGCGCGGTCGAAGAGGCCGGTCCGAACCGTTCGAGTACGCGCGCGCGGAAGTCGGGTCGAAGATTTGAGTTCCACACAGGCGTCGACGGAGCTCATGAACGCGATCGTCGACAACCACGAGGCGCCCATGGTCCTGAGCTCGATCATGAAGCAGAACGTCACGGACCGGGGCCGCAACATGGTCAACGCGGGCATGGACGTGCTCGGCGGCGCGGGCATCTCCATGGGCGACTCGAACTACATCGGCGGCGCGTACATGTCGTTCCCCATCGCCATCACCGTCGAGGGCGCGAACATCATGACGCGGTCCTTCCAGATCATCGGCCAGGGCCTCATGCGCTGCCACCCGCACCTCCTCGACGTCGTCGAGGCCCTCGAGGCCGACGACGAGGGCGCGCCCGCGCGCTTCATGGCCGGCGTCGGCGCCATGGCGAAGCACGGCGCGGCGAACCTCGGCCGGTCGCTCGCGAGCGGCGCGCGCGCCGCGCTGCCCTTCTCCGGGTCCGGCGAGCGGAATGGCCACGAGGCGCCGGACGCGTTCCTCGCGAAGCACGAGGCGCGGCTCGCGCGGCTCTCGGCGAACTTCGCGCTCGCCGCGGACCTCGCGCTGCTCCTCGGCGGGCGCCTCAAGTTCGAGGAGATGTTCATGGGCCGCCTCGCCGACTCCGTCGGCGCCATCTTCCTCGGCTACGGCGCGCTCCACCACTACGCGCGGAACCACGC